TTTTTTTATAGCTTTATTGAGAAAGTAAGTACAGTTAAATCTATAACTATGTGCTATTTAAATAACCCACAACATCGTATCAAGTTAAATGTAATAAAATTGCTGAATTTAAATGTGCTATTTGGTAGCATACAAATTACATACATACTACAACCTATAGTTTTAATTTTTCCTTTTTGCTATTACCAGTCCATTCTCTTTCAATGTGAAGGTGAGGGCTGGTAAAGAGTTAGTAGGCATACTTAAGTGAACAGGAGTTTACAGAGCTAAAAACTGCTGGTGTGTGGGAAGCCCAAAAGCTCTGCTTCTACGACATCAAATCCCAATACAGTTTCCTGATAGAGTAACATGGGAGTGTTAATTTCTGTTTCAGGTCTCCCTCCCAGGATCCCCAGAAGATGAACCGAAACCATGTATGTAAAACACCTGGTAAGTAGAAGTTCCCTCTGGGACAGGAGGATGTTACTTCTTATCTCAAAGTCCTGCCCCAAAACACAGCTACTGCTCCTTAAAAGCTGCTTAGAAATGACGGAGTATTATGTGCAGAGCAGCGCTGAGGGCCACCCTAGGCCTCTTCCATTGGATGCACCTCTGTGGATCGTCCTCTCAAGTCCCCAGTGGTCCCTCTTGATCTGGTCAACCCACTTTCTGGTCACCGTAGTTCTTACCTAAGGACTGAGATTTTTAATTTTATTTCCTGTGTGTAGGTGCTTTGCCTGCTTGTATGTCTGTGTCCCCTGTACATGCAGTGCTTGTGGAGGCCGGAAGAGGGGGCATGAGATCCTCTGTACCGAAGTTACACATGTTTGTGAACCACCAAGGGGGCGCTGGGAAGAAAACCCAAGATCCCTGTAAGAGCAACAAGCGCTCTTGCCTGCTGAGCCATCTTTCCAGCCCGGTTTTTCCTAGTGTGGTGGTTAATAATGCCTACATGACAGAATCTAAAATCACCCCGAGACAAACCTCTGGGCATTTCTGTGAGGGAGTTACTAGATTTGGTTGAGGTAGGAAGACCCACGCTAATTATGGATGGCACCATTTCCTGGGATGACATCCGGGAATGGAAAAACAAAAACAAACAAACAAACAAAAACAAAAACAAACAAAAACCCAGGAAGCAGGCTGAGCAACAGCATGCCTCTCTCCTCTCCTTACTGCAGATGCAGTGTGGCCGGCATTCTCGCTTTTTTGCCACCAAGCGTTTTCCATCTTGGTGGACTATATCCTCCACTGTGAGCCAAAATCAACCCTTTCTTAAGCTGGATCTCAGCAATGAGAAAAGTAACTAATATACTCATACATATATGTGTGTGTTTCGTATTAATCTATTTATTGTGTGGATGTGTGGGGGCACTAGTCCTATGGCATGCACGTGGACGTCAGAGGACAGCCTGAAGAAGTGGATTCTCGACTTTCCATGTTGTGGGGGCCCTAGTGTGGGGGTGGGGGTGAAATCAAACTCAGACTTCAAGTTTGGCAGCAGGCGCCTTTACCCACCGAGCCATCTTTCCAGCCTTTACCACCGTCTCTTTGGGTGTACAGGGAACAAAGAAATAATGCTGAGAAATTTGGTTCGTGCTCCCATTTACCCACATATTTTTTTCATAGTATTACATATATATTCCTAGTAGTACAGACATGGATATTTGGGGGTTTGGAGCTCACTCAAGGCTGACTCCAGACCTGGGGACGTCTCCATTCGTCTGTGGAAGACACTCACACCTGCACCTGGCCTAGCTCCGCCTCCACCTGGGTTGGGCCTCTCTTCCTCGTCCCTCCTCCACTCAACCTTGATTGGTTATAGGAAGAAACAGGGTCTCCATTGGCTCCTTCATGAGGGGGTGGAGTCGGGTTGTGTTTCATCTCTCCGCTGCAGGCCGAGCTCAGCCGAAGGGACCCGAAAGGCGCCGAGGCCCGCGTTGTAGCGGTACTGATCCGAGGCGGCTGGACGCGCCCCACCCGGCATCAGGCGGAGCCAGAGATGCTGGCCAGGGCCGAGCGGCCCCGCCCGGGCCCCCGGCCACCTCCGGTGTCGCCCTTCCCGCCGCCGCCACCGCCGCCGTCGCTGCTGCTGCTGCTGGCGATGCTGAGTGCTCCGGTGTGTGGCCGCGTCCCCCGCTCGGTGCCCAGAACCTCGCTGCCCATCTCCGGTAAGACCCAGGGACCCTTGTCCTCAGCCGTTTGCACGGAGCCCAGCCCTTGCGTGCAGGTGCCCACACCCACCTGTCCTGCTAACCCCAGCGGCAGCATCTAGGGCCCCTCTGTGCGGTGCACACCCCTCTGAGACCAAGACCTCTACCCCGTGCCTCTCCATCTCATCTCATCCCATCCCATCCCACCCTATCCTATCCCCAAGCTGGCCTTGCATCTCAGCTCCCAAGACACAACCATAGTGCTCCCGAAGCCCCCCTTTTTCAACAGGGTGTAGCCCCTCATCCTGCAAACCTGGATACGGAAGCCCCGGGAACACCTGGGGTTTGCCCAAGGTTGTCCATATCAGTCCTTTATTCTTCTGTTTCCCGCACATACACCCACACTCATCACTTCATTTCCAAGCCCATGCTATTCCCTATTCTTTCTTTCTAGTCGAGGTATCCACCTTGATCCCTAACCCCGCATTTCAGTTTTTTCAACTTCTCTCCCCCCACTTCTCCCCTCCCCGGTCCCGTTGTCCTTTCAAACGCCCTCCCACCGCCTCCAGACCCAGATCTTTCCACCCACTTCCTATACGGCTGACATCTCCGGCTTTATCCTTCCCATCCTTTCGTTATCAACTCACTTCAATTTCCTGAATGTTTGCTGCTCCCTCCACCCATCCCCTACTTTGAATGCTAGAAAACACTTCAATGAGTCGATTCAAAGTTCTTCATTAAAAACAAACAAAAACAGAGAAGGGGGCTGGAGAGATGGCTCAGGTGTTAGGAGCGTTTGGCTGCTTTTCCAGGAGATCTGAGTTCTGTTCCCAGCATCCATGTCGGGTGGCTTATAACCACCTGCAATTCCAGCTCTAAGGGAACAGGACTCTGTGGTTACTTGTATGACCCTATATACAGACAAAGATGATGATGATGATGATGATGATGATGATGATGATGATAGGGAACAGGACTCTGTGGTTACTTGTATGACCCTATATACAGACAAAGATGATGATGATGATGATGATGATGATGATAATAATAATAATAATAATAGAAACCTAAAAATTATATATTAAAAACAGAGGATAGGGCTGAGGTCCTTTATGATGACATGGGAGAAGCCAGGGGTGCTATGAAGTTTAAAATGGCATTCACAGTTTAAATACTCTTTGCCGAGGTGGGCATGAGTGTGGCATGGGGCTTGTCTTCTTCTCAATGAAGCCAAAACTCACAACTGGGTCACAGTAACTTAAAGCTTATGCTCACGCCCAATGACATCTAAGGATGCTGTGAGTCCTGAAGGCAAAGTAGCAACCAGAGCCTCTGGAGTTTCAGTTTGTGGTGAACCCCTACCCTACAAAGAGAGTTGTGGATGCCTTTTTTTTTTTTTTTTTATGGTGGCTGGAGAGGCAGCCGTGGGTGCTGGGAAACGAACTCTTATATTTTTGGTTGTGAGCCTAGCCTTTAACGGCTGAGCCATCTCTCCAGCCCAGATGCCAGTTTTTGTTGATATCCAGGAACCCAGACAGAGAGGCCTAGGTGGCCAGGCAAAGCAGAGTAGGTAACACAAAAGGAGTTTTGACAATCCAGGGCTTATACTAAGCTTCAGAGTAGGAAGTAGAGACGATGTGGATGTGGAAGGGTGGGATGGGTGGGGCTCACCTTGGCATATCTCGGGATGAATGGGCTGGTAGCTGGTCTACTCTCTTGAGGGCATCTGAGTTGATGAGGCAGCTGGAATCCAGATGTACTGGTGAAGAGTTCGGCTCCCCAGAACCAGACACTGAGCAAAGGTGAATTCACACAAAATTGTTATTGAATTTCAAAAAGCTGAGAGCTTTAGATGCTGATAATGAGTTGAGTTTGGGTCTAAGCAGAAAGATGATAAGGAAGGCAGGATGTGACCACGAGTGAGATGGGTGTCATGCCCACTTGTTACCCCCTTTATTCTCCCAACACTCCCGGATTGTGGCGTTTACACACAAAGGTGAGGCCCTAAGAGGGCTTATGTGAGCGCACACAGCTGGTATGTGGAAGAACCACGTTTAAATGCAGAAGGGTCTATTTCAGAAACACACACTCATCCCACTCTCGCTTTGGGTAGATGGGGTAAGAGGAAGCCAGGGTGTAGGGTAAGAGAGGAAGTGAACTCCAAATGTGTTGGCAAAAGAGTGCCCATTATGGTGGCACACACCTTTAATCCCAGCTGGCCGGAAACTGAGGTAGGAGTATTTTGAGTTCAAGGCCAGCTTGGGCTACATAATGAGAGTTTATCTTAAAAAAAAAAATTGAGGCATATCAGGAAAATACTAATACTTTCTATAGGTATTTTAATGTTTTGTATCACATTGCTGTGAGTAGGAATGACAGATTTAATATTTGTACCATTTTAAAAAGTGTTCTTTTTATAGAAAAAGCATGCATGCCTGGATCGTGTGCTAACTATTCTGGCCTCTTCAGTTATCTTTCATTGGGAACAGGAAGATGGTTGGCTTGTCGAGGTTCTTCTTCTTCTTCTTCTTCTTCTTCTTCTTCTTCTTCTTCTTCTTCTTCTTCTTCTTTTTTTTTTTTTATAAACCTTGTTGGCTGCCAAATAAAGAGTCCTTGGGCTGGCGGTGGTGGCGCACGCCTTTAATCCCAGCACTCGGGAGGCAGAGGCAGGCGGATCTCTGTGAGTTCAAGGCCAGCCTGGGCTACAGGAGTTCCAGGAAAGGCGCAAAGCTACACAGAGAAACCCTGTCTCGAAAAACAAACAAACAAACAAACAAACAAACAAAAAGAGTCCTTGGGAGACAACAAAGATCAGCCCCTTGGGGGACCTTAAGTTTCTGAGGGGATGGCTGATGTCACTCTCCCTCTCCTCTGTTCTTCCTTCCAGAGGCCGACTCCTATCTCACCCGGTTTGCTGCCCCTCATATATACAATTACTCTGCTCTCCTTGTGGATCCTGCTTCTCACACGCTTTACGTCGGGGCTCGGGACAGCATCTTCGCTTTATCCCTGCCCTTCTCGGGGGAAAGACCCCGCAGGGTGAGAGACGACAGTGGGGTTGACCCCGCCTGTAGCGTACATTTAAAGCCATCATTCCGTGGGCTGTAGGTGGTAGAGTTTCATAATAACTACAGGTGTCGTGGAGCAGAAGGAGGGAGAGGGAGCCTGCAGCAGCGTGAGTTACTTGGGGGTAGTGGGTGGAGGGAAGGGTTTTCGGTGAGTGACTGTGGTGGGTATGGTTAAGACCATCACTGTATGGAATAGAGGATACAGGGAGTAACGGCTTTGTCTGCCAGTAAGGAAGAAGATAATGGGACGGGGGTCTTCCCACCTGTCTCAGCTGTGATGGGGACACGTGGCGACGGGGGAGGGGCAGTGGACAGACGTTGTCGCTAGAATAGTGATTTTTTTCCAGGGAGAGTTTGCAAACTGTTTTCACCATGTATTAGTAAGAACTCTAGTACACCCTGACACAGTGCACAAGTATGTAAATGTGTCCTGACCGAAAGGTTCTTTGGACCAGCACTGACAGTCATGTATGTGACAAGTTCTGATTTGTTCTGTTTCCTTAAAAAATGTGATTTGGGGTTAGGGATCTGCTCAGCAGATGAAGTGCTTGCTTAGCTTGGACAAAGCCCTGGATTTGACCTCCAGCACCACATAAAAATCTTGTGTATGCCTGTGATCCCCGAACTGGGAAAGTAGAGACAGGAGGTTCAGACGTTCAAGGTCATCCTCAGCCTTACAAAGAGTTTGAGGCCAGCCTGGGCTGCCTGAGACCCTGTCTCAAAAATAAAAATGGGGCTTTGATTTCACAGTTGATTTTGTTACTCATTAATGGGTGGGGGACTTCCAGTTTGAAAAGAAGTGAGTGGGGAATCTCGGAAGTTTCCAGACTGTTGAGATTTGTAGGACCATCTCTTCTCCCCCGACCTCAGTGTGCAGGAGGAAGGGAACCTGGGAAAAGAGTTCTTCTTCTTTCTCAGATTGACTGGATGGTGCCCGAGGCTCACAGACAGAACTGTAGGAAGAAAGGCAAGAAAGAGGTAGGTGTAAGCCCTCACCCTGTCCTGAGAGTCGGTGGGGACCTTGGCCCAGCCCTGACTTTGGGTCAGCCCCCTGTAGTGCCCCTGTCCTGAGGGGTCCAGGCAAGGACTCTAACACCACACATCACTCATACTCCCCCATACCACAGCTGCCTCTATCTATACCTGACCCCATCCTTTCTCATACCCACGGCTTCTGATTCTCTCTAACCATCTCTGACCCCCCCAGGACGAATGTCACAATTTTATCCAGATTCTCGCCATGGCCAATGCCTCTCACCTCCTCACTTGTGGCACCTTCGCTTTTGATCCGAAGTGCGGGGTTATTGTGAGTGACAGGGGCCAGACGGAGAGGGAGGGGGAGCCTGTAGCAGTGGGAGTTACTTGGGGGTGGTGGGTGGGAGGGTGCGAAGGGTTTTTTGTGAGTGACCATGTTGGGCATGGTTAAGACAACCACTATGTAGGATAAGTATCGGTGGGCCCCCCGCGGTGGGGGGTGGGGGTTAGAGGATGCCCTCACAGAGGAATGGGAAAGGGAGATTGTAGAGGGTCAGGTATGCTCAGTGTAACAAGATGCAGTGAGACAGTGAATGGAGTTAGTGTTGCCGGGGATTGGTTGGCCTGGGGATCGGACAACTCCAAGAGATACTTCAGCAGCCAGACACTCATGCTTTGCCCACTAAGGGCTTTGGCCAAGCAGCTGCAGCCTGTTTCTTCATCAGAACAGCCCAGTCTCTCTTCTCCCATAGCATGCCTCATCATCTTCTGGCACCCTCTGCCAACCCCGTTCTCTACAGGGTGTGACTCTCATGACTCCTGATGTCACCCCCATGCAATGTGGTACCAGCTGGCTCCGTGCTCTTGATGTTGCCTTTGGGGTGAGCCCCTCTGTCAAGCACATTTTCTTCTAGATCTTGTTCCTTGGTGAAGGCCTGTAGACTTTCCCACCCTCAAACCCGGGCAGCCTTGGTATCAACAACAATATGTTGTTGATGATGTCTAGTCTAGTCACAACTACATGTTTGGAACTCTGACCTTTCTCTGTTCATTGTACAGTGGTCACCACTGGTCTTCTGGCAGCAGATTTGTGACTGAGTCCTGGGGTGAGTCAAAGACCCTACTTGTCCTTTGCACACAGACCATGCAGTGTGTTTCTTTCTTGACTTTGATCCTGAACTGCAGATATTGATAGACTGTTCTACAGTCTGCACTAATACAGTGATCCACTTGGGCCTAGGCAGTATACATCTCCAAAAAACTTTGTTCAAGGGCACCCTAGCTCTGGCTTGGGATGGATCCAGTTAGCATCTGAGGCTTTCCTCAGGGTTAGTTGGCCTTGTTGAATTCTTTCCATATGCTCTTTACAAAAGTCTGGGTGATTCTCTCAGTCTGGGACAGCTTATTGGTTCTGGATGGTATTTGAAAACCTCGGTATTCCAGCAACCAGTATTGAAGGTTTAGTTCTTTACAATTCCCACCAGGCCCACAAGGTAGCAGAGCTAGTTTTCCCAGTCTGCTCAGGCATAGAGAGCCCAGAGGAATGAATATCAGAGTCAGGGATTATGCAGAGTATGATCATCCCAGCTCATCTTCTTGGGCTCTCCTTTCTTCCTGGGATCTCTGAGTTGGGACCCTAATGGGTCCTAGCTAAAGCACCTAGATGGAAAATGTTCTGGCCATGCCTGGGGTGATCAGTGTGACTTGGGCCCCTCTCCATTCTTGAGAGATGTCAGCAATGACAAGTAAAGCCAGGGTTCTGTGTCCCACCAGTTCATCTCACCAGTTCAGTGTTTTTTCTGAAACCACCTATCCAACAGGCTGGTGAGCTGAGGGGCCATTCTTTGGAGGGAGAGGTTAACTCAGCCTTCCATGCTCCATCCCCAGCCGACTCAGTAGACCTTTTGAACATCCTCTGTGGCTTTTTACCTATCCTATTCTCTTTGACTGTGTCCTTGCTTTACCCTTAGTGCTGAATCTCCCATGTTCCCGACTGATGATATTGAGATTGTGGATAGCTGTTTCCTGAAAGCTTTGATCTAGACCTAGCTCACTCATTGATGATTGTGGAGAAATGAAGGTTCTTATGAAGTCCTGGATCTACCAGTTTTAGCAGTGGACTGCTAGCTTTCAGTTCCAGCTTCCATCACACATTGGAAGAAAATACCTTAATGTGACTTCTTGAGGGAACTCCAGCCATTAATAGAGAAAAATTTAGGCTTCAGTAATGATCACCAGAAAAGCAATGGCCATTCACTCTGTTGCGGGCTTAGGTACCTTATGTTCACAATTGAGTTTAATTTAATCACCATATCATAGTATTCAGGTATGATTTATTTCTATTTTATAAGCAAGGAAACTGTTATTCAGAGAAATGAGATGCCATGGCTTAAGATTATGTAGCTAGCAGAGGCAGAACCAATATCTGAACCTGGGTTAGTCTAGATATGTTCTACAACCCTGTCTGTGTGGCCAGCCTGCAACCCAGGGGTCCTCATCTGGCTTCTGTCTCCTGTGACTTCTGACATGGTTCATGCATCTTTGTTTCTTTATATGCCTTCTTTTTTGGGGGGGTGGGGGAGGACAAGGCCAAAGGGCCAACTCTAGCTTCACTGCTCAGGGAGAGCCTTCCTATCCATCCCCGGATTTCAGCTTTAGGGACTTGCCTTTACCTCTACTAGCTGATAGTGAGAGACATCTACTGACATGGAGATGATGTACTGAAGATCTCCACATACAAACAGAAAATCAGTGAGACGGTCTTCCGTTTTCACAGCCTGGTTCAAGGCCATTTTGGACAGAGAATAATCAGAGCCTGTTTGTCAATGGGTGGCTCACTTTCTCAAAGGTTAGAAGGTTAGATGAAATGATAATGGCACTCAGGAAAACTGGGAGAGAGCTAGTCTTGACTTGTTGAATTTTAAGAAGCTGACAGTTGGGGGTTGGGGATTTCGCTCAGTGGTAGAGTGCTTGCCTAGCAAGCACAAAGCCCTGGGTTCGGTCCTAGCTCCGGGGGTGGGGGCGAGGGGAAGAAGCTGGCAGCAAACTTTGTGAGAATGCCCCCCAGTCAATGGAAGTATGGACTTGTGTTTGGAGGACATGGGGCTTGTTGGAGGGCATCAGTCCTGGAGGGTTTGACCAATGGTTTAAACAGAAAGGCTGGAAATAGAGGAGTGAATGGGATATTTAAATGATATGTTAGAAAGACTACAGATATATACATGATGGGGCTAGGAAAAGAAGGAGCTAGAGAAACAAATATCAAATAGGAAAAAGGACTCCAGGAAGATAGAGTTTCAAGAGCCAAAGAATGGAATATTTCCAGGAAATGAACATGCCAGCTGATACATAGAGACTGAAGTGGTTGGGTACCAGGAAAAGGCCCATCTCTTTGATCTTTGGTGAAAAGAAAGGGAGCACAGAGATGGGAAAACAGTTTGTTTTCCAGGAATAATAGGTGATTTGTTTGGAACAAAGATCATTTTGAGAAGCAGTAGAAAATAAGTAGGTTGTGTTAGAGTTTGTACTACAGGCAATGATGGGTCATGTGTATATGCATGCATGTCTGTGTGCATGTGCGTGTGCGTGTGCGTGTGCGTGCGTGCGTGCGTGCGTGCGTGCGTGTGTGTGTGTGTGTGTGTGTGTGTGTGTGTGTGTGATTCTGGAAGACTGATGTGAGGTGAGTGTGGAGGTAAATTGGGGGTGCATCTATTCTAGGGCAAGGAGTAGCTCAGGTGAGGGAAGAAATGCAGCCACAGTAGTTGCTAACTGCACTCCTAGAGGGCCAGAGCACTCCGGCAGTCACAAAACCACCATCCTCCTCCTCAGACAATGTTCTCATCACCACACACTTGGAGTGTTGGGCGTCTGTGCGGTCTTCCATTCCAAAACGCTTTTTTGATCCAGTATCTTCTTCTGGAGAGGCGAGCGGATTGCATCTCGTTTTCCCAAGACTTCTTCAAGAATTGTGTCAGCAAAATCAAACCTTGTTTGCTATCTGCAGCAAAGAGGGGAGCTAGGCGAGTGGTCCGGCGGCAGCACTAAGCTCGGAGACCACGTCTCTATTTCACGCCTCTGGCTAGAACAGCTCAGCTGCGGTCACAGCGATGCCTGCTTGAGTTTGCGAGCTGGCGGCAGCATGCCTGGCCTGTCCGTGTCATACCTGTGACAGCTTAGTGATGTGCCTCTGAGTCCTAGTGTGAAACCGTCCTTCCTTCCCACTTGTAGATGTTGTCTTGAAATTCTGCTAGTGCTGTCCACTGGACTAAGGTCGCTTGTGACTGTCCCTGGTGGATGTCTTCTGTCTGCCGCCTCCGCCCCTCTGGAGGTCCCTGGAAGAAGATGCTTGCCTACCAAGCCCTCAGATCATGATCTGAGCTTTGGGTCATTCTTCACAGTTTTCTTCTCTGCTTGAATGTGGGACTCTGACCCTCTCCTCCATCCTTGAGTGGGACCGAGGGGAGAATGATATTTTGTTTTCTCTCTAAGCTCCCGGGCTTCAGCTGGTTCCCAGAGACTTACACTTTCCTTGCCCTTCCTCAAAGCTCCAACCCTCAAAAGGCTGTCTGCTTCCTTCCCTCTCCTTGGCTGTAGCACATCCAGGTGGTTACAAAGTCCAGGATTTCAGAGGAGAGACCTTTGTCCGGCCTCCTGGTCTTCTCTAGGGCTGTTCTAGGAATGCCTTCACGAGGAAGTGGGGGGCACGGGTCTGAGGGCCAAGAGGAGTGAAGCAGAGAGAGGAAGTCAGTGGGTGGAGGAAGCAGGCATACGATGACTGGATATGGGGATGGGAGTTGGGGGGGTGGGTGGGAGGTGAATGGAAATGGGGTTTTCCTCCATTTGATCTTCTGTTTAATTCTCACCATGAACCTTCCCCACAAACCCTAAACCACCTGCCCCCCCTCTTCTGGTCTGTAGGGTGTGTCCAGTTTCCAGCAGGTTGAAAGACTTGAGAGTGGCCGGGGGAAATGTCCTTTTGAGCCAGCTCAACGGTCAGCAGCTGTAATGGCTGGTGAGTGGGGAGAGACAAGAACCGGTGATTCTTGCTCTGCCGCCCTCCTTCCCCACCCCTGCCGCCCGAGTCTCTGTGTCTTTTCTGCCCTTGGAATGTCTACCACACGCCTGTCTCCTCTCAGCCTTTCCTGATGGTCCCCGAGTGCCTGTGACCGCTACATGTCCCCATAGGATATTATTTCCCCCAGGCTCCTCTCTAGAGAATGTGGCCTCTGCACCTCTAGTGGGATTTCTTTGTCTGTGTACCCCATTTTCTTCTCTTATAGCATCCTCCCGCCCTGTTTGTAAGAGGAATTGACTGCAGTGCATATTGTAATACATTTGGAAAGAGCGTTTTTTTTTTTTAAGTCCAAATTATCTTTATGTGGTAACCGAGACGATCTAGATCTTTGTCTGATTTGGTAGCCACTTATTACCTTGGCTGTTGAAGCCATTGAAACGTGACTACTGCAATGAATGAGGGAATTTTAAATGAAGTTGAATTTCATTTGGTGTAAGTGGCCCCATGCGTCTTGAGGCTATCACTTAACGCACTTCTAGAATATCTCTACTTAGAAAACCACTGCCAGTACTTTAGGATATTCCTTTCTAGCCTTTAAAATGTGTTCACACACCCATATACACTTACGCACATGTTGTTGGCTCGTCCTTTGTTCTTCAGGGTAATGAATGGCTGTTTTTCAGTTCCTTTCATTGCCTCCTTTGAGGGAGCTACCTGCAATTGCTCAAGTGTGGACCCCGCCCGAACTTCTTTTGGAGAATGACAAATTCATTGGCATAGAGAACAGATTGCTTTTGTACTACATAACCCATATTTTAGGGGAGTTTACTCCACGTAGACTCCAAATTCAGAGCAGAGCCAGCTGTTTGCTCATGACAGTGCAGAACAGGCAGGAACAGAATTGAGATCTGTTTAGGTGTGCGTTGAAACATTTTTTAAAGCACTTAATTTCCAGCATGAATATAATTTCGAGCTTTGTCATGTAGCTTTACTTATAGGACTTTCTATATGATTTTTAAATACTTTTTTGTTGTTGTTATTTTGAGACAAAGTCACATGTAATCCAGACTGGCCTCCAACTCTCTGTGTAGCCAAAGGTAGCCTGACTCCTGATCTTTCTGTCTCTACCTTTGAAGGCTGGGATGATAGGTATGCGTTTGCTTTAGCAACACTGGTACAGGACCCAGGCTTTGTGTGTGCTAGGCAAGCCCTTACTGACTGAGCGAGAGCCCCAGCCTCTAAAGATACTTTGTGAAGACATTTTTAGAAATAATTATTCCGCTGGGCAGTGGTGGCGCATGCCTTTAATCCCAGCACTTGGGAGGCAAAGCCAGGTGGATCTCTGTGAGTTCGAGGCCAGCCTGAGCTACCAAGTGAGTTCCAGGAAAGGAGCAAAGCTACACAAAGAAAACCTGTCTCGGAAAAACAAAACAAAAACAAATAAAAAAAAATTATATTAGCTCTGTCTGTCTGTCTGTCTGTCTGTCTGTCTGTCTTTCTTTATCTGAGACAAGGTCTGCTATCTATCTATCTATCTATCTATCTATCTATCTATCTATCTATCTATCTATCTATCTATCTATGGTTCTTTGAGACAGGGTCTTACTATGTAGCTCTGGCTGTCCTGAAACTCACTATGTAGTCCAGGCTAGCCTTGAACTCACAAAGATTCACCTGCCTCTGCCTCCCAAGTGCTAGGATTAAAGGCATGTGCCACTATGCCCAGCTATGAAAACAGTTTTAATGACGTTATGCTGTTCATCTTCTGAGCATACTGTAAATTGATTAAATAATTTCATATTGTTGTTATATTTTATGTTTCCTTTAAAGATTTTGGTATTGTCCATATTGCTGTAGTGAACACGTATGTGTGTATTTTTTGTCTTCAGTTTTGATCATCTCAGGATTCCTAGAAATGGATTACCACATCAAAGGGTGTGATATTTTATGGCTCATTATCAGATGCTAATTGGGTTTTAGATTGGGGTGCACCAATTCACACCTAAGCCCGAAATGTATGAGGGTGTTTTCTTTTCTCACATTAATTTTGCCATATGTTGTTGTCATTTAAGAAAATCTGTGCTAATCTGAGGCCGAAAGTGGCGCTTGTTTTAATTTGTGTTTCTTTGAATGTTAGTGAAGTTGAACTTTTTTTCATGTTGTAGTACTTATTTTTTGCTTCTTCGGGTAAATTCTCAGTTGAGCCAGGGCATTAGTATTCCAAGCCACACCTTTTCCTTTATGGTGTGTGTGTGTGTGTGTGTTTTCTTTATTTTATTATGTTATGTGTATGAGTGTTTTGTCTACAAGTATGTCAGTGCAAACAAGTTCATGACTGGTGCCTGCAGAGGTCAGAATAAGGGATCAAATCCTCTGGAACCGGAGTTACAGATGGTTGTGGGCAACCATGTGCCTGCTTAGAGTTGAACCTGGGTCCTCTTGAAGAACAGCATGTGCTCTTGACCACTGAACCATCTTTCCATCTTTCCAGATTTTTTATTTTACTTTATTTCATTTTTTGAGACAGAGTTTTTCTATGCAGCTCTGACTGTCCTGGAACTTACCATGTAGACCAGGCTGGCCTCTGAACTCACAGAGCTCTGCCTGCCTCTGCCTCCTTAGAGTGTGATCAGAGGTTTGTACTTCCACATCTGGCTTCTGATTATATGTTTTTTAAAAGCTCAGTTCTTCTTTTAAAGAACAGGTAACCATTTTTCCCTTTTAAACAGTTCCCTTAGGTTTAATTCTTTGAATATTTGGAGCTTGTTTTAGTGAGTGGAGTGAGTGAGGCTCACAGCCTGTCATTCCCAGCTTGCTCATCCGGTCCTTATTCTCATGGATCACAGTCTCTTCTTCCTTCCTAGACACTTATTGCCAAGTTTATCATACAATATGTTTTTACTTATATTTTTGGACACTTTATAAAATTTATATTACTTATTAATTAATTATTTTTTGAGTCAGGGTTTTTCTGTGTAGCCCTGGCTGTTCTGGAACTTACTTTGTAGACTAGGCTGGCCTTGAACTCAAAGATCAGCCTGCCTCTGCCTTCCTAGTGCCGGGATTAAAGGCCTGCACTAACCACATCTGGCTTATTCATTTATTTTTGATAGGGTCTCACTGTGTAGGCCAGGCTGGCCTTGAGCTCACAGAAGTCTACATGCTTCAGAATGTTGGGATTAAAGGTGTACACTATGGTGCCCAGCTTGACAATACTTTATGTAAAACAAAAATTGAGACTTGGACTACAAAAGTGATTTTTTTCCTTATGTATGAGTTTATTTTTAGGAAAATTCTTAAAAGATAAACAGATTAAATCACTCTCCAGTCATACAGTTGATGACTGTCTGTTTGGAAGCAAGCAGAGAGCTGAGTGACTACAGCATCCAGCCGTCATGATTACCACTCTCCACTGTTGGAACCGACGAGACCTTGCTTGTACTGGTTCATGTTGGAATAAAACAGTTCAGTCAATATTTTTCTTGGCTTTTCACCAACACCTTTGACAAAACTCTGAATTGGTCACTGGGGTCATTAAGAAAGACTTCTGGATTGTAGCTGTTGTAAACACTGCTAGGTTCTGCAGAATTGTGTATCAACACAAATGACTTAGATGTAGGAACATGAAGCATGCTTTCTTTTAAGCAATATTCTTCTTTTTTTTTTTTTTTTTTTTTTTTTTTTTTTTTTTTT